CCAAATCTTGAGAATGATGTGGCCATCTAGGTATAGCAAATATTTAAAACACTCAATAGACATGACCAGAGAAAAAACTCTCCACATCATATATCATTTAACTGTCACAAATACAGAGCAAATACAGAATATGGGAACCTGCAACAGAGAAGTATAAAGTCACTTATGAATGAAAACCTGTCAGAGTAATAGGTTTCCCAATGAAAGCTCTAATGCCTGGGAGGATACGAATGGACATTTTGAAAACAATAAAAGTAACTATTAACATGAATCATATACCCAGCAAAACTGTCTTTCACAATCAAAGGAGGGATAAAGATTTTTGAAGATAAACTGAAAGAATTCAGACTAGTGAACTGGCATTAAAGACAGACACTGAAGGGAAGAATCTTATATACAGAAAAGGAAGCAAGCAAGATAAACAGAATCACAAGGACATGGGAGGGAAGAAATTTAACTAGAAGAATAGATATGCAAAAAAGAAGTTGGAAGCAATCATATTTTAGCAAACCATCAAATATCTAAAGTGAACAAAAGAGAAAGAGACAGAGGCTAGTTTTTACAAATAAAGTAAATAAACTGATAAGAATTAGTACATATTTTAAAATAATAACTCTGAAAGTAAATGGTCTGAATTCACCAGTGCTAAAATGCATATTAATTGATTAGATTAAAAACAAGACTGAACTGTTTGCTGTATGCAGAAAACTCATCTCACTGACAAAGACTTACACGAACTGATTACGAAAAAATGGAAAATTACACTCCAATCAAATGGAATGCCAAAAGAAGCAGGAGTGGCTACACTCATATATATTTCTAAATATATTTCAAGCCAAAATTACAAAGTTAGTTTAAGAAAAAAAGGCAGTGTATATTGCCTTTTATTTTTATAATTTATATTTCTCACTTTCTCTCTCCCTCTTATTTTATAAAATAAATACTATAGAACATAAAGGGAAAGATTGACCCCCTAACCAACAGATCATTCAGACAAAAAATCAACAAAGGAATGTCAGAGTTAAATTATAGATTAAATAGATTTAATAGACATCTTGAGGATATTCCATCCAAGAGTCATAGAATACAAATGCTTTTCATCAATACATGGGTCATTCTCCAAAATGTATCACATTCAAGGCCATAAAGCAATTCTTAACAAATATAAAAACATGGAATAATTACTTGCATCTTGTCAGATCATGGTGCAATGAAATACAGTAATCAACAGAAAATGAAACTAAAGAAAATATACAAACACACAGAAATGGAATATTGCATCTTAAATTGTCAATGGGCCATTGAAGAAAATGGGGAAAATTAAAAAAATTTCTAGAATCAAATGAAAATGAAAGCACAACATGTCAGAGTTTGTGGTTTGTGGTCACGGCAGATCCGAGAACAAAGTACATAGCCCAAAGTGCCTAAATTACAATTCCGAGAGACAGCAAATAAATAACCTCAAGACATGAGCAAAACAAGAACAAAATAAACTCCAAGGTAATATAGGGAAATACATGAACAGAATGGATAGAAATTCATGAAATAGAGACTAACAGAAAATCACAAAGTTTAACTGAAACAAAACTAGATTCTCTGAAATATGACACTGGTAAAACCTTAACCAAACTAACCAAAAGGAAAAGAGAACAATGAAATTAATAAAATTAGAGGTGAAAGCAAAAATAGCACAACAGATAACTACAATCTAGAGGATCACTAAGGACTATTTAGAAACATTATGTGCCAATAAATTTGGATCAATAGAAGAAATGAACAAATTTCTAGATGTATGTGACCTACCAAAATTGAACTAAGATGATATAGAAAACTTAACTAGAGATTTAAACAGTAATGAAAAATTTCCAAAGATGTAGGTCAGGCAGTGCTAGGTATATTTATTTCTACATTTTAGTGGAATTTTAAAGAACTAACATGAAATCTCCCCAGGCTGTGTCATAAAATAGATAGGTAAGGAACTCTTGCAAACTCATTTTACAAATCCAGCATTGCCTTCGTGCCAAAACTCAATAAGAACTTACACACACATTAGCATGCACATGTGTGTACATACACATGCCCATAGATAACCACAAATTCTCAATGAGATAGTTGTAAACTTAACTCAACATCTTATTAAAGCATCATACACCAACACAAGTTGATTTCATTGCAGATCTGCATGCAGTTTTCGCTCAACACATGCAAATCAATAAATGAAATACTTCTCATAAATAGAATCAAGGATAAAAGTCACATCTATCTGCAATAGAGCAGAAATAAAACCGTAATAAAATTCAACATCTTTTCATTATAAAAATCCTGAGTAAGCTAGGTATAGAAGACTTACAATTCCATGTAACAATGGTTACATTGGACAAACTCATAGCCAATATCATACTGAATGAGGAAAACTGACAATATTTTCTTGAAAAAAAGGAATAAGAAAATAGTGTCTAATTTCATGAGTCCTATTGGTATAGTACTGGAAACTTTAGGCTGAGATATCAAGTACACAAAAAATAAAAAGGATACAATTAAGAAAGAAAAAAGTCAAATTATTTATTTCTGGATTTTATGATTCCATACTTAAAAAAGCATAAAGACTACTAAAAGTTATTCAGAATTGATAAATTCAGTAAAATAACACTGCATAAAATCAATATACAGAGGAAAGTATGCATCAAGAATGAACCCAGTGAGAAAGAAATCAGGGGAAAAAAATCCCATTCACAATAGCCTGAAAAATAAAATAAAATACTTTGGCTAAGGTTAATCAAGCATGTTAAGTCTTCTGTAATGAAAACTGTAAAAAAAATAGAAAAAATTAAAGACACTAGAAAACTGAAAATATTTTTGTATTTATGGACTGGATGAATAATATTGTTAAAATAACCACATTACTGAAAGCTATCTACGGATTTAATACAATTCCCATTAAAATCCCAATAATATTCTTCACAAAATTAGAAAAGAAGTCCTATAATTCACAAGTGCGCAAACTGACGAAGCAATCCTGAGTAAAAAGAACAATCCCAGACTCATTATGATATTTAATTTCAAAATATACTTTAGAGCTGTCCTAAGGAAACAGCAACGTGGTAGTAAAATTAAAATGTACACATAAAACAGTAAATAGAATAGAGAAGCAAGGAAAAAGCCCACACATTTACACCCATCAGGCACTCAAGAAATAAGCCAAAAATATACCTAGAACAGACAGCTTCTTTAACAAATGGTGCCAGGAAAACTGAATATCCACCTGTAGAAGACTAAAACTACATCTTTATATTTTATATTATTAAAAAATCAACGATAAATGAACCATTGACAAATATAGTCTGAAATCTTGAAAGTATTAGAGGAAAACACTTGAAGATATCTACATAGACAATGATTTCTTCAACAGGATGGTAGCTCAGAAAATAATAGTAAGAAATGACAAATGGGTTTACAAAAAAATTAAAATCTGCATATTTGAGGAAACAAGAAAATAAAGAAAGAACCTACAGAATGGGAAAAAATCTTCAGTATTCATCTGACAGAGGATTAATAAACAAAACATAAATAAACAGCAAATTTAACACTAAAATAAGTAATCCAATCAATAAATGGACAGATGAGCTGAATGGAAACTTTTTCTTCTTTTTTTTATTTTCAAGAGAATAATAAAAATATAAAAATGATATAAGATTTCAAAACCATGATAGGAAATTAGCAATGGTAATTATATTGCATATTGTACTTTCCTCGTGACTAAATATATTATGTATTTTTTATATATTTAATAACCATTTTTACTTTTTAAAAGAAGTCTCTGCTCAGGGTCTTATTTTAAAAAGTAAAAATGGGCATTAAATATATGAAAAAATTTAACATATTTAGCCACCAGGAAAGTACAAAGGAAAACTACATTGAGATTCTCACCCCAATCAGAATGGCTATTATCAGGAAAAACAGCAACAATAACAAATGCTGGTGAGGACGTGTGAAAAAAATGAACCCTTGTATACCACTGGGGGGAATACATAATTTTAGTACAGATATAATATAAAATGATTTGGGTTCCTCAAAAAACTGAAAACAGAACAAAAATATGATATATCCAGCTCTAACACTCCTGTATAGATTATCAGAGGTTTCAATCAGCCTACCATGGAGATGCCTGAATAGTCATAAGTGTAGCAATATTCAAATTAGTGAAGTTTTGGTTACAGCCTAGGTACTCATCAAAGGAGAATGGACATATGTGTATATATATATATATCTCACAAAGAAGAACAAAATGTGTCTTTGAAGAAAAATGGATGGGAATGGATGGAACTGGAGATTATTATAGCACGTGAAGTGTCAGAATAAGAAGGAAGGATCACCTATGTTCTGTCATATGTGGGACTTAAAGTGGAAAAAGACATGCAAGTATAAATGGAATTAAGAGCAAATGAGAAAGTTTCCATGGAGAAGGTGGTCAGAAAGTAAGAGGGTAATACAGAGAGAGATTAGGGTCAAAATTCAATGAATGTACATAAAAAGTCACAATAAATATAATTTACATAAATTATATGTACTAATCATTATAAAAATAAATTTTAAAGGAAAGACAGCTAAAGGTGATTTATTTTGTAAACTTCTTGTTACTGTAAACTTAATCTCCAAATATATTCAGATTCAGATTTTTCTACAATGATGTCATTTATGCAAATTAGTACATTTAGGTAAACTAAAAGCCAGTTAAATGAATGTGTTCAAATGATTATTTTTGAGCAGAATAATGATTCTCATTTTAGGTTAATCCCAGTATTTAATTGAAAACAGTTCTGAAATGCATAAATAAATGTATTTATATGTACAATTTTCTTTCAAAAAGCTACTTTTCATAAAATACTTAACACAGTTCATCACTAAAAAAAAAAACCTTAATGAGGAACACATAATATTCTTCTAAAACACATGACATAGTGATTTTTTCAGCTATTGCTTACCAGCAAAAGGGATTTATTTTAGGGCTTTGAAAAAGAGAAAAATTTAAGAAACCTGTCTCTTATTCTCTTGGTCCTCACTCCATAAATAATGGGGTTCACCATGGGTGGGACAAGAAGGTAGATATTGGCCACAAATATGTGGGTGTGGGGAGCCACTCGCTGTCCAAACCTGTGCGTGAGAAAAGAGAAGAAGGCTGGAGTGTAGGACACTAAGATGACACAGACATGGGAGACACAGGTGCCCAAGGTCTTGAGTCTGGCATCCTTGGAAGGGAGGCGGAAGACCGTGTGTAGTATGAGAACAAAAGAACACAGGATCAGTATGAAGTCCACCCCCCCAGTGAGAAAGGCAACAATGAGGCTGTAGGCTCTGCGGATTCTCGTATCAGCACAGGCAAGCTTGATGAGGGCCATGAACTCGCAGTAGGTGTGGGAAATTATGTTGGTTCTGCAGTAGGGCAGCCAGCGCAGCAGGAAAGGATGAGGACTGAGGAGCGCTGTGCCCCGGAGCACAATAGCAAGGCCCATTCCTCCAACTACAGGGTGTGTCAGAATGGTTGAGTGTCTTAATGGATTACAAATGGCTACATAATGGTCAAAAGCCATAGCCAAGAAGAAGCCAGACTCCATGGTGGAGCAAGAGTGAATGAGGAACACTTGAGTGAGGCAGGCTTCCAAGCGAATCTCTCCATCATGAAACCAGAAAAGGCTGAGAAGTTTGGGGACAGCTGTAGTGCACACAACAAGGTCAGCCACAGCCAGCATGCAGAGGAAGAGGTACATTGGCTCCTGGAGGCTGGCGTCTGTCTTGATGGTAAAGAGAAGTGAACAGTTTCCCAGTAGGTCTAAAAGGTAGACCACACAAAAGGGGATGGAGATCCAGGTGTGGGCAGCCTCCAACCCAGGAATGCCAATGAGAATGAAGGTTGGTAAATGCACATCAGTTTTATTGTAGACTGACATAGCAAAAGTCAAGTGTCCTACTTTTCTCTTTCTCAATGCTTCCTCTAAAGTGAACAGAGAAATAATATGTAAGTTTTGAAATTTTCAAAATGAAATCCAAAATACAATGAACTGTGGGTCATGTGGTAACTACAATAAATATAAATATCTGGGTAAAAATTGTCTCATCATTTGACAGTCAGGTATTAAAAGAAGGTTACTCTGTCTTAAAATGACAGCAAGTTAAAACACAGAGGATGACTGCACTGAGACCTACAAAAATACTTTGCTCTTATTAAATACTTTGGACTACATGAATCTCCTTAACCTTGCACAGGCAGTCTTAATATATTTTCTCATTACATCAACATTGATATGTTTTATTGACTTGTGACTTTTTAACGTGTAATAAGATTAATATATAGATGCTAAATGAAGTTAAGATTTACATACCCAAATCCAGAGTCAAATTTATAAAAAGTTATCACTTTCACTGAGAAGAAAGTGACATCAATCAACAATTAAAAATGATACTTTGAATCGAGAATTGATTTTTTTATCTCTTAGACACAGTATTTGGGATACACTGTGCAACAGAGTGTGGCTTTGACATAGGAAAACTAACATAGAGGTTTTCAATGTCTGTGGAATCAGCAAGTTTGTTCACATCTATAAGACATTTTAAGCATGATAACAAGGAAGTGCTGAGGACAGTGTGTTAGGAAATAAATCATTGCACTAGTAAGTCTCCACTGCCCCCACAATTTGCATTTACTACTGACCTCGTGGAGCTATTATTTCAACAGTCTCGTTATAACTTGTCATATAAGCTTCATCACCTCCATTCCTTACTGTAATTAGTCAAGACACTGACTTTTGATTGACTTCACTATAAAGCCATCTACTCATTCAAGTGCAGTTCATAATTTTCCCTTTGTTCTTCGTGTGGCTGTATTGTCTGATCCCCATGCTCATTCCCCTATTGCAATTTGCTCATTATATTTGCTCACTTTAATATCATTTTAGCAGCGTTTTGATAGTCATGCAGGTTCCCTAGAAGTTATTTTTTTCTTCACCTTTCCTTCACTTTTAGTACAGAATAGGCATTGCTTCTGAGATGCTTTGTTTACTGTTACAGGTATAGTCAGAGATTATGCTGTTTTGTGATCATGAAAAATAAGGTTTAAATCAGTGTCCAGCGAAGTGAGGATTGAAGTGAGAACTGTGTGTAATGCACTGCACCTCAATAATCAGTTGTAATAATTTAAGACACTATAGTCTCTTAACCAGTCTTTGATGTTCACACCCACAAGTTCTGCTTAGTTTCACTGTTTGAACTTCAGAGTCACAAGGAATGGATATTCTCTTTGAGCATGAAAATAACTGGGTACATGCATCACAAGGTAGCTTTGGAAAGTCTGGGGAATGTCATTTTGGAATCATGACATTTATTGGACAGTAGAAGTATCTAAGGAAACTAGATTACTCAAAATTTGTGTGATACTAGTTAGCATTTCTAAATTTGATATTCACTGAAAATGAATCAGTTGATTCCCTAGGAATATTTCATATATTAACACATATACATTTTATTCTTACTTTTGCTTGAGGGATGTTTAGTAATATGTAGAAAGGTAAACAAGTGGTTAGTGTTAGACTTAGTTTTTAACACAGATGCTGAATAAACATCACTCACACTTAGTTATAATGATGAATTACCCTAATCGTGTTATGGGTCTATGTGGGGGACCATAGAAAGGATGCTTTGTATAAAACTAAAAAAATATTCCCCATTAATTTGATTATTGACAGTGAGTGAAAATCCCATTTCATATTCCTTGAAGAAGTTACTCTAAATCTAAGCTTTTCTTTTAATTTTTTGGTGAGGATGGATTACAAGCAATTGAACTCAGGACCTTGTGCTTGCCAGGCAGGCGCTTGTGCCACTGAGCTACATCCCTGGCCCTCCTTTCTTTTCCTAACTAGCCATTCCCCAAAGCACCAAAGAAGGAAATTTAACATAACTAGACTTTGTCAGTCTTACATTGCTCTGTAATTAAGTTTAATATTCTTTGAGCTCCTGACTTTTACATACTTTACATTTTTGTCCTAAAATAAATCTTTGTATCATTTAAATGTACTAGTGGTTCTTTTAATATTCTCATATTTCTCATACACTTTACTTTTTTATTTTATTAACTTTTTTATTAATAATCTCTGTTACATGAGTATGTGCCAAGAGCTCTGCTATGCCTTGGAAGGAAGCTATCATTCTGTGATAGATGATTTATAGCCTTTCCTACCTCTTGGTCTCTCCAACTGTTTTCAAGACTCTCAAACAGAAGCTACTTCATGGAGCATATATTTTTAGATATAAAAGTAAAAGAGAGCAGTGCTGGGGGCTGGGGATTTAGCTCAGTGGCAAAAACACCTGCCTGGCAAGCGGAAGGTTGTGAGTTTGGTTCCCGGTACCGGAGAAAAACCAAAAAAAAAAAGAGCAGTGCTTTTCATTATATATTTTAAAATAACATTTACTGATTGACCTTGCCAATTTTTATAAATATATTCAAGATTGAGTTCTCCTTCTCTTCAACTTTATTTTAAAATGAAGTTGATTCTACAGTGGCATTGATAGAAAACTAAGGTATGAGAAAAATACCAAAATGAGACACTTAAAATGCAGAAGTATGAGAAAATGCTTATTAAAATGAAAAAAAAATAAATTTAAGGTGAAAATCCATACAAAATAGCCTTTTAAAATATCTGAATGTGTTACTTAACAGCTTATTTGCAACAATAAAAATGTCATTCCTTTACAGTGCTGGGGTTATGGTAAGAAAATAGGCAAGTACTTCTCAATACATTGGAGATTTCCCTTACATGTCCTCTGTCTAGCTGTAACAGTTACATGGTAATTAGTATGCAGAGGAATTTTTATGACTGTTCACCTCTAATACCGAATTTTCTTCTCTTACACTTTAACCCCCCAACTTTCTATATACTCTTTCTCTCTAAACGAATATGAGTATACTTTCCCAGGATAAACTAATTGAATAGATGACATTGAGAAAAAATTAAGAGTAAAGTGAATGCAAATATCCAATAGTTAAAATAGGTTTTTCTCTTTCTCACAATGTGGAAATTTAAAATTAAGATGAATAAGATACTAATCATAGAGTATATTTTACCAGTAGAAATTCAAAACTGATGTAAGATTTGCACTATGGAAGAACTTTTAAGAAGAGTTGGCAGTTTGCTGAAAAGAAAGTTTATGTTGTTATCTGGTTGTTTGCTTTTTAAGAATCGTTTTGCTTTATGTCTTACATGGAGCAGTTACATTAAAGATAATGATAGACAGCATAATATGTATTTTTATTCTTCTGTTACTTGAATATAAAAATCTGTTTTATTTTGCATAAAAAAGAATAAAAACAATTTATAGGGCTACTAATCGAAGCAACTTCAAGGTGAAATTATGTAGAAAACTCTAACACTAAAAAATAGTATTTTTACACTGAATAATTAGTTCTTATCCCTAAAAGAGTTTCACATATAAACCTAGGAATAAGTAGTCGCTCAGTGAAACACTCTCTAATGGCATAAAATTTGGATGATTGAAAAATTCAATAATAAAGAGCAAATTTAAAAATTACTAATAGGCCTATGATCATATTCTCAGCATACTTCAAAGGAATACAGTGTATTTGTATGAACTGATATGAAGTTATGCAAATAAAATGTAACATTAATGTGCTTTTTCTACTAGTATTGGAATATGTGTACAAAAATGAAATGAGTATTCATAGAGTATAAGTACAATTATGCTGCTAATTATATAAACAGAAAAAGAGCTAAAGAGAACCACATCCAAGTTAAGAGAAATCCAAGTGAGTGATGGATGGAAAGTAGTACAGATAGTATATAATTTTATTTACCTTTATCGCTATGGCTTGACTTTTTCTTAACATTAGCAGTCTATTCAGTGTACTAACGAATTCCCTGTAGTGCTTAAGTTGAGTAAATAATGTAGAGTTGCATCTGCATGAGTCAGAAAAACCTAGGAAATTACATGTCTAATACGGTATGTACTAAAGAATGTTTCTAACCATTAGAAATATGCCTCTCCACATTTCTTTCCTCAGAGTACTCATCATTTTCTCAATCAGTGAAAACCGTGAGCCCGTGTCTTTGTTATTTTTGGTACATTTTAACAGATATCAATTTTTAATAACTTTTTACTGGTATTGAAGCTCAACTCATTTTATCAAATTTCATGACATTATGTTCTTAGTTCCATTGAACTATCACTGACACCCTCATTGGGGTCTGTGCTATCCACTCTTACCTTTTGTCAGTCTGTCATTTTACACTTTATACTTTTACATATCTTTCTTCTGTATTCTATTGCAGATTTATCCTGCACAGAAATGTTGTCTTTTAATATATTTTCTTGCTGTTTTAATGAAAGTGTGAAGAAAAACAAAAAAAAAGAGACAAGAACAAGAATATTATTATTTCTCTGCTAAATAATTTTAATATAAACTGCAGCAACAGTTTCATGATTATAGTGTTAAATTTTTAGGCATATTCAAGGATTGGTCTTCAATATAACTGAATTCTATTCTATTTGTTTTATGTCTGTGTACATAAGAGAGAATCTGAGACAAGAATAAGAATTTTATATCCTCTTTTTGGAGAATGAAATAAATGGTTTCTAATGATTTGTCAATGAATCTTGCACCTATAATCCCTCTATCTAAAATTACATAATATAAGATAATAAGAATTGAGCATCTATATTTTGTTGGCATCATCCCACTTTGTCCTTATGGAAATTTTCGGGGAGGTGATAATGTTTATGACACTGATAAGAGAACAAGCTAAGAATATTCAATCAGTTTGCATACAATCTATTGTACTACTAATTTGTGGAGATGGCATTTGAATTCAAGTAATATGAAGCTGTAATTGTTACATGAAATTTTAAAATGCTAGCATACCATCAGTTCTTAAAAATACATTACACAATCTGGACCGCTTTGGGCATTATTAAACATTATTCCAATACCCTAAGGTTTTCTCAACATCGATACTAGTACATCTATTTCATTCCCATCTTTTCCGTGGTCCGTTTACCTCAGATACTCTGATGTGTGGAGCAAGACCCATGTACAAATTTACTCCTAAGGAAAACTGCTTCTCAGTCTTAGCGTATAATAGTAGAGGTGCCAGTGTTTGTAAGATGTGAGCAATGTATTCAAGAGCCACAGATCCAAATGAGATCAGTTGTCTCAAGAAATCCTCCACAGGCCTGTTTTTCAGAGCCAGGCGGCTCTGAGTAGAGCCATGAAATGTTTCGTCTGACTGCTGAGCAACCAGCTCTTAACTCTGTGCGCTGCTTTACCTCACCAGGGATTCTGTGTGGATCAGAGTGAGCACCTGCTTGTCTTGCCTTCTCTCAGGACTTATAGCTTTTCCAACTAAGTTCAGTTAAAGACAGTTTCTGGGTATCCCTGGCTCCCATGGGCAGGATTTGTGATAGCTTCCCTACAGTGTAAGAAAAAGAAGCCCTGGAGGGTTAAGGAATACCAGATTCTATTTTTTTTTTTTTTCAGGTACCAGGAATCAAACTCACGACCTTGCGCTTGCCAGGCAGGTGCTGTGCCTCTGAGCTAAATCCCCAGCCCCTCTAGGGGGTTAAGATTTTTGTTTGGAACACAACTTCTAAATTCTTTTTTTTTTTTTTTTTTTTTTTTGGTTTTTCTCCGGTACCGGGAACTGAACTCATGACCTTGCACTTGCCAGGCAGGCGCTTTTGCTGCTGAGCTAAATCCCCAGCCCCCACAACTTCTAAATTCTTAAAAATCGACCTCTTAATAAAACGAGAATCTGGAAGACAAGGGTGGAGTGAGTCTTCCTCAGCTGTCTCTGGAGTCTGCCTTTCAGCAGAATTGCTATGTCTCACATTTATTGGTCTTTAAAATTATCTTTCACATAATCCTTTTCTCTTTTGGGGTGGGTGATTTTTTCCGGTACCGGGGATTGAACTCCTGACCTTGAGCTTGCTGTGCAGGCGCTGTGCCACTGAGCTAAATCCCCAACCCCTCACATAATTCTTTCTTATGTTTAATATAAAAATGTCATGAAAGCACTAACATCATTCATATTATCTTGTTATTAGGCTTACTTGTATATTTTATATTTATATGATTTTTAATATTTACATCATATTGCACTTTAAATTTTACATCATAATCTAAGTTTTATGCTATTATATAGCCTTTATTCTTTTCATAGAAAAGAATATTTAAACTCTTTTATATATACAAACAAAATTCTTAAAAAATATTTAGGTATGATCAGAATGGAATTTTGATGAGAATTTTATTTTATCTAAATATTAATGTAGAAGAACTGACATTGTTAAGCATTCAATTTTAGATATGATCATTGTTTGCTTTTGACAGTGTTCCAGTTAACTTTTAGATCTTTAAACAATTTTTGAAACACTTTTGTGTCAGTTACACAAATTAATTTAATTATAAAAATTCCAAAGTTAAAATTATGAATAATTACATTTGCCATTCAAATCATGCATAATTATCTCCAGGATGCATTTTATATATACTGCACATATGTAATTGATTCTCATGATTCCAAATTAAAGTTCTAATCTTTAAAAGGTATTTGCAAATCCAAATCAACATTCATGATCATTCAATGCCATTTGCAACATGAAAAAAGCTATCAAAAATTTGAACTGCCTGACTTTCATATTCTCAGATGAGGTAAAACAAGGTAATGTTCTGAGTTACAGTTCAGCTCTCAGAAACAAGTAGTACCTCTCTTTCTCTTTCTCTCTTTCTTTCAAAATAATTCCCCTGTTAAAATTGGCTCACAGTGTAGTGTTGAGTTGCTAGGAAATGTCCAAAGTGACCAAGGATTGTTAAATGTTTCATGGGTAAAATAATTTAGATAAGTTTCATGCAGACATGAGTTATAGTTCTGATTATGACTTCAATGTTAATGAATAAACATAGCCTTCCCTTCAAAAAAAGAAGTTTGGCTATTTATATAAGAGGCTTGTATAAAAAGTGTTAAAATCACATCTGTGATGTGGAATATAATTATAGAAAAGATGTGTTAATTAAAATTTATGGGAACAGATTGTTTTGTACTGAGCTCCTGCATTAGGAGCTAACAGACCAGAACAAGACAGAACTGGTTCACTTGGACAAAGTGCTGTGTATTCAAAGTGTAACAGGTAGGAAAATCCTCAAACCGATCAAGGTCTCCTACAAATAGGATACTCACAGTAACCAATCAGAAAGAGCCAGGTCAACCTCATACAGCACGAGAAAAACGACCTGTTTGATATAAACTTCAAAACGAAGTAACCTGAAATTAACTAGTCCATTTTGTGTTATTCTGGGTCCTTGTTCCTGTTTACTCTATTGTAAAAAATCATTTATTCTGTCCTCTCTAATGTAGAAAGCTGTATTTTCAGATAGGTTTCTCCTTGATTCATGGATTATTAATATAAACAGATTAGATCCATAAACTAAATTAGTTGAAAAAATATATTTTACAGATGAAAAATGTCTAAAATGGAGTATTCATGAGATGTAAGACAATAAAATTCAGTTAATGTAGAGCATTTGAATAAGCCTTAAATGCGAACAAATTTGCATTCATGTTAACCAGAGTCAGAAAAATGGCCAGCTCTCTGGCTCACTTTTTCAAACTCATGACAAATGTCATTCCTGTGACTGAGGTAGACCTTCCATCATAGCAGAAAATTCTTTAACACTAGTTTTAAAGTACTTCTCAATTGTATCATAGAATGGTATTAAGCTTAGTTGCGATTATGGAACATAGAATTCTTGAACTTCTTCCTCTGCCTAGCTAGAATTTTGTGTCCACCATTTTCTCTCCAGTGTCCTAGACCTCCAATCTCTTGAGCTGAACATTTGAATTTTGAAAAATTGCACATATAAGATCATGCAGTGTTTGTTTTTCTGTGGTAAGATAATTTATCTTAAGAACAGTTAATTATAGACAAGTTTTTATAAATGACAAAATTTATTACTTTATAAGGTATGTGCTCCATTGCACATACATGCACACTGAGCCTTCTTTCTCCCAGAAGAGGACTCGGGCTGAGTGATTTCTTCTGTCAGTGAGCAGGATTGCCAGTGTCACGTGGGTAAGGGAGACTTTTCATTTTATCATTTTCAATGTGGCTTTTCTCATTCTTGCTCCACCAAGATGCTGAAACATCTTTGAATGGTAGAGCAGCCACAAAATTATTTTCTATGAGTAGTTAATAAGTCAAGGTTTATGAGGGGAAATGAAGGCTAAATCCTTCTGTTTTGCCATCTTGCTGATCTACACATTATTTTCTTATCAGTGTGGGTGCCTTAATTTTTCTGCCCTTCTGAGTCAAAATGACATGACAATGTAGATTCCCCGGAGATTTTTGGGCTTTGCAAAATCATCTCTAGGGCATTTGCTATTGCAGATGCCCCTCAGGCAACGGGAAGTAACCTCATAAAAAGTGAACGGGATAGGTTGAGGAATAGAGAGACAGGATTCCATCCTGGGCTCAGTCTGGTGAGTCTGTCCTGTGTCTCCTTTCAGAGGTGAAGGGAAGGACAAAGAGACAGAGGCAGAGAAGAAGAGGAAAACGACAAAAGGCTTTAGGAAAAGAAGTCTCAGAATGAAGCTTAGAAAATGAGTAAGAGTTATGGCTAGGAATTTCAGATAATACTACCAAAGCCATTTGGATTATAGCCCGAACCTATTTGATGTAAATTTTACAAAAAACAATCTGTTGATATCTAAAAATAATGCACAACATAGTATCTTTAGAATATGGTTTAAAGTGTCTTAATGTAATTGTCTCTTTAAATATAATGACCTTTTTAGGCACATCTGTCTTTACCATCTCATTGTAGATGATTTTTTAAAAGTAGGATCAATTAAATTTTTAAAATTTTGTATCCAGGAAAAGGGCATGCTGTTAGGACTTCTGATATAGTTGGTCACTGACTGGTATTGATGTAAGACTGACAATTACACAATGTCATTGCTTTACATATGTCCTCCAGTTATTTCTACATGTTGTCCACATCACTGTCAGTATGTTAACCAACTACACGTTGCCTCACTGTAGGATAAATTTATCTGATGTAAGACATGAAATTTTTCTATTATTTTATTTGTAGTTGAAAATATAATGCTGTCTCTCCTTTTTATAAAATATGAAATGCAGTTTATTTTTTCCTTTAGTTATTAGTTCCCCATTAATGCGTACTTTCATTTGTATACATCTGTTCAAATAAATTTAAAATTATCAGCCATGAATTTATTAGCTAAAACAATTTTCTTTTCTGCTATACCCTGTATCATAGGTGTGTCTAAAAAGGGAAAATATTTTTATTTCTTTCAAACATTATTTGACTAGTTTCCTATTTTTCATAGATGTCATTTTGTAATACAGAAAGATTTCTTGAATATATCATTTGTAAGTGTTGTCACTTAACATTGATATATCACACAAAAATATTTTCATGACTGAAAGTATCATATACTCACTCTTAGGTTACTTACATCACATCTTTTTAAAGTATTCTTTATTGTAAGAATAAGACATCATAGAAGAAAAATCTCTGCTCTTATGAACAGTCCACCGTGTGTCTCCTCCAAATAACATCTCTTGTTCTTGGCTTTCTTCCATTTTAAATGTTTGCCATTTCCTCTTCGGAGTTCCCTGTTTCCTTAACCATTTTAAACTGTTCTGTCCACTGCCTGAGTAATGTGGACCCTCTGTTTTGTATCTTCTTCCTCCTGTACATCAATATCTAGATAATAGCTTGATTGTTTACTGAAATAGTTCTCATAATCATTATTGCTCCTCTAATGATACAGATGATCAAAAGCAACTTTTTACTGTGAAACAGTTGTAGACAATAAAGACTGAGTAGTATAAAAGTACACTCCTTCCAATGTCATAAGTAAAGTACATGAAAATATTTAAGAAAAGTGTAGCTGTAGGTAACTTTGAAAATTATAAGGCTTCTTTCTTTTAATAACCTGAACACAGAATAAACTGCCTTTGTATCTAGTGTTTTTTTTTTTTTCAATTTATATGTCTTGTTTTTTTTTTTTTTTTTTAATTTATATGTCTTGTTTCTTAAACTGTTAAAGTCACGATGGCTTTGTGTTTACAACATAGATACTGGCATACCTAATTCAGGTAGATGTGAATTTTAAGGAGATTATATCTGTGAATATATTTGCATGGGGTATGCTTTCATGTATGCCTTGGATAAGATATTTCTTTTATTTTTCTTATTGCCTCTCTTTTCCTGGCATTCACTCTTTTCCTATGTACTTTCCCCTTGCTTTGTAAACATATGTACTTTAACCATTTAATAAGACTTTGAACTTTCTGAGGTTCACTTCCATTGTAAAATATATTCAATATGTTCTCCTATAGGTGTTTATACAGATTACCTGTGATATTGCACAGGTTGTAACACTGAATTTCAGGCAGTAGGCAGTGCCTCATAAATGTTACTCTACTATTTTATTATAGTAATAATAAATTAATATTAACAAATGTATCAATTTTCCTCATTATATAACTTTTGATGTTGTAGATTACATTTTAAAAATTTATGCTCATTAATAACTTAATAGTCTTCTTGTACATCATATTTGTGTTACCTTCTAGGAAAATGTAATGAATAGAAATGATTCCTTTGGTGGCCTGGTGAATCTTTGGGTGTAGGAAACTGAAAGTAAATTGTGTTGGTGATGATCAGAGTACATAATTAATGGAGTAGAGGGGCTGGGGATTTAGCTCAGCGGCAAAAGCGCCTGCCTGGCAAGTGCAAGGTCGTGAGTTTGGTTCCCGGTACCAGTGAAAAACCAAAAAAAAAAAAAAAATGGAGTAGATATTGAGGTAAAATCTGCATGATACCAAATATAAAACTATTGCAAATTAATAGAGAAGAAAGGACCTAATAATGTTGAATATATTATGTACAACTTGTGCATGCACATGTGTGTGTGTGTGTGTGTGTGTGTGGTACTGGGGATTGAACCCAGGGTCTTCACACTTATCTACAAATGCAGCCATTCATTTATTCATTCTTCTA